TGTTGTCGTTGAAAGATTTCATAATTTTAGGTGGATTACTATTAGCATTATTCAGCTTGATTTTACGTTTTTGTCAGTTTAGTGGCTAATTTGTATGAATTCATACGAGTTCAGTCATACGAAAATGTTTGATTTTAAAATGGAAACCCCACCCCTAAACCTAACCATCATTGAGGGATGAACAAATCATACCAAATTGTAAGAATTCATACGAATTAGCCACTAAATTAAAAAGTTATGAAATATCATGAGATCGTGTTTGATTATTCTGCATAATACATAACCAAATCACAAGCACAGATATATACAAGAGAGTAAAGATGCAAATGAAATAAAGGTGTTAAGGCCTTTTATGATTTTCTTCATATAGCATTCAGACACTAAACTTGAACAAATTTAATTAAAAATATCACTGTATAAACTGAAGGGTTTAATTATTCATAAATAATTAATTCACCCTATCACACATCACGATGTTTCACATTAGACATTGTACGATACCTAATTGGTCGACATCGCCCAACCATACTGTATATTCTTCTGTACCCTACTGTATAGTCTTCATCATATAAATCTTTAATCTAAAGCTTCAAAATTAATAATTTCTTGTGCTTTCATATTCTCTTGAAATGCTTAATAATAATAATAATAATAATAATAGGTCAAAAAATATGCAAATGATAAACTTTCACAACATTATGAATAAACTTTGCAATGACCATCTATTGCAGTGGTTCTCAAAGTGGGGGTCGGGACCCCTTGAGGGGTCGCGGAACAATGAAGGGGGGGGGTCGCCTGGTGATTTCCAAAAATCTACTTATTATTATTAGGCCATAAGAATTACCATATTTTATCCATAACCAACTGAAGAGAAAAAAAAACATTTTATAGTTACTATAGTAGCTTATTTACTTGTTCTATTGGATTGCGACCCCTGGGGTAAATACATTATATTAAAGACAGCAATAGCGTCAGATGCAGCAGATTTATAACACCAGGTTAAACTTTCTGGCACATTTACAGCACTGACATACATTAAAAAAAATTAAATGAAGAATAGACTTTGGTCTATTGGTGCGTGTGTGTGCGCCATTGCATGCAAGTTTTCTGTATTTATAACCACCTCAGGGGATATTGGGGGTCGCAAGTCACTGGCATTGTTATTTTAGGGGTCGCGTGCTGAAAAGTTTGGGAACCCCTGATCTATTGTACCTGATCAACCATAATCATGACTGGATATTGCACATGCTACTGTACGATGTGACTATTGCAGACTGTGATATCAATGCCAAAAAAATAAATTGTGCAGCCCTAATTCACAATATTTAGAAGTGCCAGAATATCAATTCAGCGCATGTTCATTATCATGGTATATTGTAATACTGAACATCAGCATATGTCTAATTCCCAGAGGAAGGAAGTATGTAATATCATACAGCATTTCAATATAAAGCTGACTCATCTTTTCTGGAATGAGATACTCTGTTGGTCATGGTCAAGCTTCAGTGGTCACCAAAGAAAGCTGCTAATCTCACAAGCCGCCTCATTCGTTGACAGCAGAACAAGAAATACAGCAGCTCTAAACAAAGGAATGCAAATGGCTTTTTTATCCTCCTAAATCAGCTGCTAGCTCTTTTATTTCAGTGAGTGGTGGAAAAGAAAGAGGACGGGAAAACACAAGAAGAATGAGAGCTCATCATTGCTGTCCTGACATCATGAGAGTGGCACTGATCCTACACTGAGGTTCCCAGCTGAGACCTCCAGTCTGTTGTGGGAGCGGGAAAAGCTGCATCTCCTCTGGACGACGGCCATGACAAACAAAACATGGTCTGACCCTTCAATCTCCAAACCCTGCTCAAGCCAAAGCACTATTTATACGCACTCAATAACTCAGTAAAAGGAAATGGTAATGAATTTGATGCAGCATCGCTCTTTGCACGTCGTACCAAGGCACTAAAAATATACAACACAGTAGGCCTGCTAATAAGACTGATCACATAAAAAAAATGAAAAACTAATCTCTATTCCTGTCAGATTTCTATGGCGTCTAAATATCACACGCTTTCTCAGAGGGATAACCATCTGCCAGCCGTCGGTGTGCACTTATATAAACGTACATAGTAGAAGAAAAGTGAAGACAGAAACAATTTTATTATCTCTTCCTCTGATCTGATACAGTCAGCTTCAAAACACTTCAGGCCTGACTGCCTTTATTGTGTTAGTTTGACGTCTCCGCAGATTTGAGGTGCAGAAAGAGCTGATAATGGATTGGAAAAGTGAATTAAATAAACTTGTGTTTTATGATAAACTCAATCAAAAAGATATCATTGTCTGTCCTAGAAGTGATATTGAAGCAAACTAAAAAGGCAAGTAATGAGAAAGTCGTCCATTCAAAAAAAGTAAAACATGAAACAGCAAACTGGTAGCTAAAGCGGAAGAATGTGAAGAAGAGATGCTTGTGGGCAAGATTTTGAGTATGGAAGGTACTTACCACCACTGGCAATAACTCAAATGTCTAAAGTTTTATATTTTTCTTTCAAGAACCTACTTTAGTCTCATTTGAACATTCTTTCCTTCCAATAACTCTTTTTAGAACTTGCTTGGTAAACAGTAAACACTAAACCACTATTGGCCAATGGAGTTCAACACAGCTTCAGTCATAAAACATAAATAAAATAAAATCAACCAATGATTTTCTGGTAACATTCCCAGCAATAAGCCACAAAGTGTGACTGCTAGCCGCAGTCTTCTCATTTATAAATGCCATGCAAGCTTGTGACTAGAACTGTGACGTCCTGTAAACGCCACAGATGTTATTAAAGTGGAAAAAGGCGCCAAAGGTGTCTACACGCAACGCCTCATGTAAAGTGGGCACGGACCTTTAATAAAGCCCACTCCACACCGACAGAAAGACACAAGAGGAGGCTGGCACTGACAAGCTCGAAAGTGAGAATGTCAGGGATATTTAAAACATCCGTCAATCACAGCAAAGGCCGAGTGCGCCGAACAGAACCACTCAAACTGAGATTAATTCTGACATGGTGCACTTCGTTTCCCACTGAGGTGAACTGCTTTGACATAAAGGTGGACATTTAAGCCTGTAACGTTGAGATTGATACTCTAGCATCACTTCATAACACAAACTGCATCAAACTACCAGAGACTGAATGCAAACTAAGTGGTTTATTTTGGGAAAACAAGTTCATTAGTTGTAGCTATTGTCTATATAAGAAAAAGGGGGCTGGGTGTCTAATTCAAGAATAGCTCTTATTGAATGCAAAACACAATTCGATCAGTCAACAGAATGGCTGGTTATTTTAATAAATCGAGACAAATGAGTATTTCATGTTAGTATATATGGTTAGCCTAAATGCAAAACATTAACATCATGATTCACTTAATGCAGAATATTTAATGTCAATAAATGCATTTAGTCTGCTGACAGAAACTCTGTAAACAAACATTTGAGCGACTGAATGCGTTTTGTTTTATTCTTCACACCATTTGTCAACAGATTGTTGTAGGTATAATCATATTTACAAATATTGCTTCATCAAAATTAGCCTGGTAAATGAAGCATATAGACCGTGAATCCGATAGAAAACAGTTATGAAATAGATTAAAACCCCTAGAATGTCCATCGCTACAAAATAACCGTAAACGGAGGTTTAATAACTTACCAAAATATAAACATTACTATTGTCTAGCGGTTCTGTTCATAAGGTATGCGTTTTATACAAACAACAGGTTTTCAATAAGCATGGAATAGGATGTTTACATAAAACATGTAACTTTTGAACAGGAGACGCGCACTCGCAGTTAGAAAATACTCAATCCAGATTCGAGTGCTAAATGCTGACTGTGGTTGAAGTCTACGTTTAAATGACTAAATGTCGATAAATGTTCATGGTTAATTTTGAGCTCTCCGTTTAAAACTTTCATTTTAATAAAAAAAAATGCATTCTTCCTAGTGTGAAGCTCCTTCGTCTGAAAAACCAATCCTCCGTAGATGGACAAGCTAGAAAGCTGAGAAACGCAATCTTTCAGTTCACTCACAACAAGCACATACCAGATTACCTCTTTGTTCTTAAAAAAGCGCAACAATACGTTCAAGTACAAAGCAGACTTTACTGACATCCTCAGTGAAATAAAGCAGAGAATCTCGTGCATACACATAAACACACATAATCTTCGACTATCTAACAGTTGCCCGCCTAACAAAAAGCCAAAGCCTGTTTCACATAAGAGGTCATTCAATCGCCATAAAAGTAGTATAAGATTTTATAATCTGATAGAGGTTTATATGTGAATGCCATAAGTAGATACTCCACGCGTTAAATTGCAAATGAGAAATTGGTCTAAATTTCTTCCTCTCCAATGCAAGCCCGACAGTTCTAACCTACATCCAATTTTGCCAATTCCCGGTTGAATCAGTGTTGGCGAGATTTTACAGACAGCCAACCCACATAACTGTCACACTGATACTGACAATCCAATAGCCAAATAACTAAACAATTGAGAGGAGCTGGACAGAGCCTGGTTTATGTGTTTAAAAACGCATCCAACACCCCTCCCTAGCAGTTAAGCTTATCCCTAAAAGTGTGATATGCAGTGGTAAGCTGAGCTATCCAGCAAAAGCATCGCTTACATTCTGCATATTCCCAGAGAACGCCCCTGTACCCACATAACCTGCATGTTACTTATTTCAGTAATTAAACCACAGGGAATCTAACCAAGTTAGTCATCCGCTATTGCAGCTCAGCACAGACATCAGCTTGTTTAATGCGTCAGTTAATAGACGCCGAGGTGTCAAACCGCATTTAAAATGACCACATCGCACTCCTCTGCTGCTCCGTCGCAATCAAGTATCGATACATTCACGGTGAACGCTGAAGAAAACAGCGCGCGACGCACATCTGATCACCAAAAAACTGCATTTTCCTCCAGACAAAACTGCATGGAAAAGTAGCGCCTGTGCGTAAAGAGCCGAGGATACTCACTTGTGCTCTTGATGCCTTGGTTTATTATCCTCGCCATGCGTAAAATCTCAAACTTGAGTACATTTCCTCGGCAGCAGTGTGTAAAGCTCCGCGTGCACTTTCCGAGTGTGAAGTCTCAGTACGGCATGAATGAGGAGGAATGCAGTCCGCGCGCCCTCATCGAGACGCAGCCTCGTTTTGAGTCTCCGGGAACGCAACACACTGCCAGAGTCGTTTATCTCGCGCCGCGGCCAGGCGGCGACATTGAGCGCGCTCCAAGCCTTTATGGTGAAATATACAGTTAGTCTGTAGTCTTAAACACCGGTCCGTTGCACCACCTGTCGATGTATCTATGCACATTTATTACAATCACAGAGACGATGGTTTGTTTGTCTTTTGCGTGAGCCAGCCAAGCATGAAGATATGCATACAACAGCTTTATGGGAGTATTGTAACTATTATTGTGAGTAATAATACCAGTTTAAACAATTAGAAATTATCTAAAAGAGTGAAATCAGAATCAGATTAACTCGCCATGTGTGCGAAGACACAAGGATTTTTGTGTGTGTGGTAGCCTATATAGGAGCTCAGGGAACATACATGTACATAGGGTTACACATACATGTATACAAGATACCTGAAAGTATATTTAAATAAGTGGGAAAGGAAGTAAAGAAAATTATATACAGATAGATAGATAGATAGATAGATAGATAGATAGATAGATAGATAGATAGATAGATAGATAGATAGATAGATAGATAGATAGATAGATGATGGATGGATGGATGGATGGATGGATGGATGGATGGATGGATGGATGGATGGATGGATGGATAGACAGTAATTTACAATAAAACATAATATTATTATACTAATGTAATGGTATGTAATTATATATTGTAAAATAAAATACATGTAGCAATACAGCAGTCAAATTTATAAATTTAAGAGTTTTGATGCAAAAACCTCTAAATGCCGTCTGAAAGTTTCTTCTAAAATGTGTATTTTCATCAGGTTCTTGTGTGTATGTTGTGTAATATCACTTTTATGGCAAAGAATAAGTCATTTTCCTGGTCTTTAAAGTAAAACATCTCAACATAAACAAAGGAGGCTGAGAAAAATGTTTATTTTAGATTGAAATTTCAGATGGCACTTTTTTTGCATCTGAACTCTTCAAATATATATTTATTAATTTAAGTTGTAAATTAATTTTAAGAAAACTAACCATTTAAAATGTAGAGCTTACATTAAGATAAAACGTAGAAAAGAAGATTGATTGACAAAAATAAAATCAGCAAAATAACTTAAATTATATAAAAGTAGAAAGAGTGTCTTTCAGGACTTGGGCCCCATGGCTGGAGTTGCTTAGAGCCCCCAAATCACTAAAGCCGCCCCTGATTATATGTGTATAATGTTTTTTTTTTTTATATTGTTCAAATTACAGGAAGGATGACATAAATTTTTTAAACAAGTACAGATTTCAAAATGAGTGTTAAAAAGCTGTAATATAATAAGTTTACAAGCACACGTTTTTACCTGCCCCCAAATAGACCTTACCTAACAATAGTCACGTTGGCAAGTTGAGGTAACCAAGGCAACTGTACACTGTCGAAATGCTTAATGTGACCAATTTCGATTTGCAAGACAATAAAATATGACAATTTATTACATCTCACCATTTATGCGTTTGTATACCACTTACAGTTGAAGTCAAAATTATTAGCCACACCTTTGAATTTTTTTTTTCTTTTTTAAATATTTTCCAAATGATGTTTAACAGAGCAAGGAAATTTTCACAGTATGTCTGATAATATTTATTCTTCTGGTGAAAGTCTAATTTGTTTTATTTTGCCTAGAATAAAAGCAGTTTTTAATTTTTTTTTAAAAAACATTTTAGGGTCAAAATTATTAGCCCCTTTAAACTATAATTTTTTTTTTCGAGTCAACAGAACAAACCATCGTTATGCAATAACTTGCCTAATTACCCTAACCTGCCTAGTTAACCTAACTCTATCTAGTCAAATATTATTTACCGTCATCAGGACAAAGATAGATAAATCAGTTATTATAAATGAGCTATTAAAACTGTTATGTTTAGAAATGTGTTGAAAAATCTTTCCGTTAAACAGTAATGGAGGTAATAAACAGGGGGCTAATAATTCAGGGGGGCTAATAATTCTGACTTTGACTGTATATGTCACAAAATATAAATAGAAAATACTACAAAATTGTACGGTTTGTATACTTAAAATGTAGTGGTTATATTAAAAAAAACATTTCAATGTTCAAGACCATTTCTGACAGAAAGAATTAGCTTTTAGCTTACATTTAATCATAAATAAAGTCTGAACTGGTAACACTTTTTAATGTTATAACATTAATAAATTTACTATTTAAGAATAAAGTCTTGTGCAACACTTATTAATCATAGCTCAACATTTATAGTTAACAGAGATGAATAAATACTGTAATAACTGCATAGTCCATCATTCGTGTTGAACTATGAACTTGGCCATTTTGGAGATTTTAAGTGTTACCCTTAAACTCTTTTAAAACAGTGGGCATTCGTTACATAAAGAACTTCATTTCTAGTACACAAATATGTAAATATTATATACATTTCAACATAAATCATAAGACATGCATACTGTAGCTTCGAACTAAATGTTAGTGACACTCCTGGCTTCGCTAATATTGTTTTTCTGTGTACTTTCAGAGAGAAATCATAAATGTGCATATAATAGACGTCAACATATAATGCCGAATACAGAAAATATGCTGTTTGTATTCAGACATAACGCTGGCAATTGTCTTATGAATTCTGGAAATACCCAAGTAGAAACTTTGCTGCTTTATTCTTGATCATTAACTGAAAGCCACAAAATGTGCGACTGGAGCAGAGCACAGCCACATAACGCATAACAAACAATCATTAAACACAGTACTTTAACAATAAGACAGAATCTGTTCTGTGTTTGCTTTATATGGTGTTATAAATCCTTAGATTACAATGAGGTTAGTTTCTTGTTTGACCAGTTACTGACAAAGACCATCTCATGTTAGAATGTATTTGACCACCCGCTAGGCTTTTACAATCCCATCATCCTACTGCACACATAACCTTCCTCACAAAGAAACCAGAGCTTCTCTGATAAACACTGTGGATTCAGGATCAGACTTGCACACCCACTGACAAATCCAGCGCTAGACTGAAGACGGAACCTGAATGCACAAACAAGGCTGTCGGACGAGTCAAAATTTACACTAAAATAAACTACATTCTACTCTGACCTTTATAACATGGCTTTGTAATATCGTATTGTTTGTTGACACAATTCTTCAGTGATGAGAGGCTTTTCTGGTGCATCACTGATGGCTTCGCTGGACATGCTTGAAGCGGTTTTCCACATATAAGAGTATCTGCACTCATTTTGTCCCGCTAAGAGGCTGAATGAATAAAACAAAGAGAGTATATTGGGTTGGGGACATTATAATGGGTCAGTGACAATTTCACTTTGAATGTTTTAGGAAAACATTGTTCATGTCAGCAAAACAAAGCCTAGTGGAATCTGATAGGGAAGAAAAATTACAGAATCCATAAATATCAGGGCCTCTCTATTGCCCATTGATCTGCGATAAGGTGAAGAAGTAAATGTGAATATGTTTGCTTGACTGAAGAAAAACATATCGACTGCTAGTCTTCCCACATCCAAAAGTTTTCTTTTTAAAACTTACAGTAAACTGTAACAAGAAGGCAAGGTTTATGTTGAACTAGAACTCTGAGTTACTTCTCTGTAATTGAAATGCAGCTAAATGTATATACTGCAGCTATAAAGAACTTTGAGAACTTTTTCTGAGCTTAAAAACTTTGAGGTACAGGTTTAAAAACCTGTATAGGTCATAATAATGTTGCCACTATACCAAGGGCGTACTCACATTAGCTACAGTTGCCTTGAATTGTCCGATGCGTGCCTGTCCCTATTCCCCTCTCCCCTGACAGCCTGCGTTTACACTGCTTTAACATTCTGAACCTGAGCACGCTTACGTCATCGATGATGTGACTGTACAGTTTAACAGGAACCGCGCCTGGGGATGATTCGGAGCACACACTTGTCTACAAACTAGGAAATTTGCCTCGGCATGGTTCAGAGAGCAAAGTGTGAGTGCACCCTAAAATTATGATTTTAATAGATTGCAAGACTAAGATACTGATCGGAATGACAGCATTCAATAGATTGATGTAACACTAGATAGAAAGATGGACTGATGGATGGATGCAAGAAGTAAATAATTAATAGGATGATAGTTAGAACAATTAATAGAATGATGGCCCATTTGGATTGATGGATGGGTGGATAGATAGATGGACAAATGGATAGATGAACATAATAATTTTGGACAAAATAAAACACATATGGATGGATGGATGGATGGATGGATGGATGGATGCATGGATGGATGGATGGATGGATGAATGGTTGGATGGATGGATGAATGGATGGATAAAAAGAAAGACAGAAACATGAATGGATGAAAAAAATGGATTGATTTTCAAAATAATTGTGGATAAAAAGAAAGAAAGACGGATGGATGGATGGATGGATGGATAGATGCATGGATGGATGGATGGATGGATGGATGGATGGATGGATGGATGGTTGGATGGATGGATAAAAAGAAAGACAGAAACATGAATGGATGAAAAAATGGCTTGATGTTCAAAATAATTGTGGATAAAAAGAAAGAAAGACAGATGGATGGATGGATGGATGGATGGATAGTCAAAAAGAAAGAAAAACAGATGAGGGGATGGTTGGTTGGATTGATGGATGGAGGGATGGATTGATGGATGATTGAACAGATGAATGGGTGAAAAGAAAGAAAGACAGATGGATTGATTGGAAAAACGGAATGACAAAATTCAATAGATGGATGTAACACTAGATAGAAAGATGGACTGATGGATGGATGCAAGAAGTAAATAATTAATAGAATGATGGCCCATTTGGATGGATGGATGGATGGATGGATGGTTGGATGGATGGATGGATAAAAAGAAAGACAGAAACATGAATGGATGAAAAAAATGGCTTGATGTTCAAAATAATTGTGGATAAAAAGAAAGAAAGACGGATGGATTGATTGGAAAACGGAATGACAGCATTTATTGGATGTAACACTAGATAGAAAGATGGACTGATGGATGGATGCAAGAAGTA